TTTTCAAGCTATTCACTCTTTTTGTCAATATATCATTTGTTTTATTTTTAGACATGGATGCAAATTGAGTTTTCAAACAATTATTTTTATTTTTCAAACTAACATTTTCACTAGAAATATATGAATACTTCATTTTCAAATTTTTATATTTCTTTTCAAGAGAACTTAGTTCATTTTGTAACTCATCATATACATATAATAACACATCATAAGCTAATTTAGAAGTGCTAAAAGTAAAAAAAGATGAACTTACCTCATTATCGCTTTTTTTAAGAGTAATAAAGCATAAATTAGTAATGTCATTTTTATTAAATTCTTCCACTGAGTCACTTTCATCACTTATATCCCAAGTAGTGATTTTCATGGTTTTCTTTCCTTTCTTCTTTTCTTCTTTTCTTTCTTAGTCTTCTTTAAGAATGAACATTTCAATTTAATGTGTCCATCTTTTTTACATTCATAATATATAACATCTCATTTGGAAGAGTTTTCGTATTGATCATCTCTCCTTTCCTTCCTTTCAAATTTCTTCTTTTTAAGTAACTTGATGACTATTTTATCGTCATTTTCTTTGTCACTTTACTAGAGCTTGCCTTCATGGTAAATTTTAAAACAATACTCATTCTTTTTAGTTCTTCTTTCTCTTCATTTTTTTTAGTCATTTCATAGATAATTAGTGATCCTATAAACTCTTCAATTGAAACTTGAAAGAGATCCTTTGTTTCTTGTATGGCAATTATCTTGGGAATCCAACTCTTGGAAAGTATCCTAAGAATTTTCTTGATAAGAATTTTATTTTTAAAATTTTTACTAAGAGAAATCATACCATTAATAATCTCCGTAAAATGAGTATACAATTTCTTAATAAATTCATTTTGTTTCATCATGAAGAGTTCATATTCATGTTTAAACATATTGAATTTTGTGTCTTTAACTCTATTTGTATCTTCATATTTTACTTTAAGTGTTCTTCAAATACTTTGTGCCGTCTTACATGCAAAGACTCTATTAAATTCATTTTTGTCTAGAGTACAAAATAATTTATTCATTGCTTTTATATTAGTTGTAAAATTTTTCTTATTATTTTCATCCTAATCTTTCTTATCTTTAACAATAACTTCATTCTCTTTAACTTTCATAAGAGTCTTAAATCATTTTTCAACTATATTCCAAATATCATAATCCATTAATTGAAAATAAATAGTCATTCTAACTTTTCAAAAACCACAATTCTTACCATTAAAGAAATGTGATATTGTAATAGATTGACCCTCTATAACCCTATGTGTATAAATGGTTGTCATAATATATGATATCACTCCAAAGACTTTTTAAGGACAATATGTAGAGACTAGCTCTGATACTAATTATTGTCCTAAAAAGCAACTCAAGAGAGGGGTGAATTGGGTATTTTTCGTAGAAGTTGAGTATGTAAAAAAAATGTAATAACAACAATTGCATCAATTAAAATGATGCAATTCAACCAAAATAAATATAAAACAATTTTAAGTAAAATAAAAAGATTAAGGATAAAAAGTGCAAACTCTTTTATAGTGGTTTGACTTTATATCCAAGTTTACGTACACTCTTTCAAGCTCTAATCGATCAAGGTTCAATTATATTTGTTGCAGTTGACGAATGTAAGAAATCTCAATTACAAATAAAACTTTTAATCTGGTGAATTTTAAACACCAATACAAATTGTAGTGAAAATGACGTAAAAATGTAGTAATTCTTCTCGAGTGGAATTAGCTATTACTCATATACAAAATAATCTTACTTTAAAGAGGTACTATTTGTTCAACTAGTAGAGAATGTAATACAAAGAATAATAGAGAGAGATTAAAAAGATTTTGAGAGTTTGTTCTTGGATACTTCTTCTTTCATTCTATGCTCCGTTTGTAGGCAAAATAATTAAATAGATGTTGGAGAACTCTTCGCCTTTTGTGAGATGGAAGAAGACAAATTTTAGTCTTCTATTAGAGCAACAGCTCATAAGCTCGCTTCAAAAATTCACAAAAATAGCTTCCAGCATTCAAAAAATCTTTAAAAAATATTCTTAACATTCTACAATAAGTCTACTTTTAAACAAAAAAAAAAAGAACCATTGAATAATAACCAGTCGTTTGAGAGAAATGGTCTATTTTCTAAAAATATGTCAAACTAAAAAACTGCTTTCATCAAAATTTATTAGTTATTTTCAAAATTGTCTAGAGACTAGAATTCTCGACCAAAAGTAATAAATTATATATTTTTGAAAAGTTCATGTCATCTATTTTTATTTGGAATTAGATTTGTATAAATTGGATTTTTATAATTGAAGTTGTAAGTAAAATACTACAGTATATTCATTCTATTTATTGACAGCGTGACTCAATAGAATGACTGATTTATAAAAATTGTATCTTTTCAACTACAAATGCAAAACGTGCATGTAATACATTCATTTAACACTAAGCACGTCTATTTTGTAAATAAAATAAAATTAGAATTTTAGTACCCCCATAATTTATATTTTACTTTTTAAAGCTCATATAGTATAAATTCTAATATTAACTTTTTCAAAAGACACTATATAAAATTGATATAAGAAATGCTTTAATATAAAAGAATATATGAGATAAATTATATATTAAAATAAAGGTATTTGAGTAAAATTTCATCTAAAATTAACTTTACTATTTTTTGAGTTTCATATAATAAGATATAATTAATTTAGTATATGTATATCTAATTTGATAATTTCATATTCTAGCATAAAATGTAAAGCATGCATGTGTTTCCAAATAATAAACTAAATAGTATGAATTGTTAACATTGCCTATTATAAAAATATACATAAAATAATTCTGATTTATTTTCTCATTATCAAAATAAATATAAAATCTTAAAACTAACAGATAAACAGGTGTGCAAAGCATACGTGTAAGAACAGACGTGTAGGAGTAAGGTCTTGGCACATTTGTGACACATGGTAGTAAGCTGAAATTAGCGAGCATGTGCGAAGGAACAATGGGTCATATGGGGTGTGTGCCAAATCCTGAAAAGGAGTTGAAACACAACATTTAGGTGAGGAACGAAAAAACAGTTGAGGCTTGCTATTTTCAAGAGGAAAATAGGCTAGTCTTTGGATTATTTTAAGATGAAAAATTTTTAAGCTTCCACTAACTTGGTAACATCTATCCATCTTGGGAATTAAGACTGGAAATGTGTTGTTCACTGCACTGATATCTTTAGCGTTTGCCACCACCCTCCTAATAAAGTTTGTAACTTGTCACAGAACAATGGGCCAAGAGTTCTAGTAAAAGGAGGTTGGACAACCATCGGGCCCTAGAGCCTCAAATGGTCCCACACCGAACATAGTATTTTAACTTCTTGCTTTGTAACAGTCCTAGACCAATTCTCCGAAACATGGGGATCAATGGTAGGAAAGAAAATATTAGGAGAGCTATATCATCAATCTCATATGTGACAAGGTCATTATAGAAGTTGGTGGCCATGCTTTGAAGCCCCATCGGGTATTCCTCCTACTGGCCGTCGGTTCTTTTCAGCATGTAGATTTCATTCCTGTGCCTTCTCCCGACTGTCTTGAGGTGGTAGTACCTTGTATTTTTATCTTTCTCATTGATCCAGTTGGTTCTAAACTTCTAATGCTAGAAGATTTCCTCTTCAAGTAACACTCGATGTAGATCTTTATTGATTTTCCATCCCTGGTCCTCTGATCAGGATTTTTTTTCTTTGCACCTCAAACATCTTCTTTTGCATTCCAGCCAGTCCAGCAAGAAAAAATCTCTTTTTTCCTTGAATGTGGTCGGAGACCTCCTTATTCCAGACTTTGAGCCTTCGGGTGATCTCCTCTATGTTGTCCACCACACTATTGTTTACCTTCCAAGCCTATTTGACACAGTTCTTGAAGTCTTCATTAGGATCCAAACCAGCTCAAATATGAACGGTTTATTAGTGGGTTCTAGTTTGGACTCCTTTAGTGCTGAGGAGGATGGGTTGATGGTCTAAGAACTAGTAGACCCATTGTAGAACCTTCAGCACTGCCTTCTGGAATCTGTCCCCAACTAGAGTTAGCTAGAGCCCGATCTAACCTTTCATAAATCTGATTTTTGGCCCCGTCCAGGTAAATCTATTCCTGAATGCTTTCGTTAAGCTGCAACGATTTATACGATCTTGGAAAAGATTGGTCTTCCACCCGTTGAACTAAGCTCCCCCTTTTTCTCATTGGACGTCAACATGTCATTAAAGTTCAAGCAACCAACCACTCACCATTCATGTCCAAAGCTATTTTATTTAGCTTGGACCAAAGGTCTCTCTTATGTACCCGTTCCGGACTCGCATTAGTGGGGGTGAAGAACCATCGAAGCTTATTTCCCTATGGTTAAACTAAGGGTCTTTCACTAGCATCGTCACCTCCGTCATCCCTTTCTTTCATGCCATATAAATATCTCCTGAGAAGCCTCTTCGGGCCACATAATCCTCACCATCGAACCTAGAAGGTTGAAGGTTTTGGAATGTTTCTCAGCTTAAACTCTGAGTTCCATGATAACAACCACATCCGCTCTATTGTTCATTAGAAACAACTAGCAGTTTCTGAGACATGTCCAAGGTGGCCATAATTAATTCCCAAGGTGATGGTGCAGTTTCTGAGTGTAGTAATACAAAAGGAGAGCATACAGGCCAGAATCAACTACTTTATAGTGTCTACATATTTTAATACAAACCTCTCCTTGCTCCCACTTTCTATCCTAACATATAAAATATTATTTTTATATATTACAGTCTCAAACGTATTTACAATACCCAACTGTCTACTACTTTCGTTGGATGTTGCCTCTTCATTTCCGGCAACTAACATGCGTGACCCTCAACATAATTTTTGTTTTTTGTTTGTTGTTTTTTAAACAATTATTATGTAGGACTCTGACTTACCGGCACTGGTCAACAAAGTAGAGTACGTTCTCAACCTTCAGCCAAAGCCATTAATTCAACTATTCCTAAATCGAGTGACTCCAGAGTGACACGTCTACGCCAGCTTCCACGTCATCACATCCATACTCGTCTCCCACACAATATGGTGGAGGCAGCAACAACCCCTCCGCCATGTTCGTTAACAATCCCGGGAAACCAAATACCGCCTCCTCGTCCATGAAAGGTACGCTCTCCTCCTCCACTTCCGCAGCCTCCTCCGGCTTGGTGCCACCAAACTCCGCCGGACGGAAAGCCTCCGCCGCCTCCGCTGCCGCCTTCTGGATCTCCTTCGGTTCAGCTGACGCTGGAACCGGAAGCCTCCAAGCTGAGTCGGCAAAATTGAGGCAAGCCAACCGCCCTCTAAGCGCAATTGCTGCCACGTCGTGGGCCCTCGCTGCCATCTCCGCGGTTGGGAAAGTCCCCAGCCATATCCTGGACTTCTTGTTGGGCTCACGCACCTCGCACACCCACTTGCCAGAGTTCCGCCGCCGGATACCGCGGTACACCGGGTGACGCGTCTCCTGGAACTTCTTCCTCCCGGCTCGCTTCTTCGGGTGGCTCGAAGCCAGCAGCAGCACCTCCTCATAGGAGAAATTCGCCGGCCGGGAGCTGCCGGAGTCCGATGCAGACGAGGATTCCGGCGCCCCGCCGGACCACGAAACTGAGCCACTGGGAAATGGGTCTGACACGTGCGAGAACGTATCCATTACCTGTAGAAGAGTAGGACTAGTAGTGCAGTTGAATTTGCTTTTGGGACGAGGTCAATGTCTGAGGAAGTTGTCTGAGAAGTTGGGTTTCCATCCAAGCACGGTGATATAATGATTTATATATTATAGTTATGCGTTTTTAACGCGTGTGGTAAGAAGCCAGGCTGGGATGGGCTGGGCATGTGGGACGGCCCACTGGAAAAGTCGGAATAATTAGCTGTTATGGGCTCTGAGGGGTGTGGATATTAACACGTGCTAGTAAACTGACGTGGCAGTTCAAGATTTGACTAGAGTTAGTTGAAAACACCCACGATCCTGGATTTTGTTAAGTTCTGATTCAGTGTACGGCTCGCTGTCTCAGTGTAAACGCTTGACGGATATTTTCGTGGGGGTGTTCTTTGTACTAATGGTGGATAATTCCTCGGCGATTCAAATCACTCTTGAACTCGTCCATTAATAATTACTAAGAGAGATATATTATTTTAATATAATAATTCTCCTTTTTTACTTATCCTTATAAAAAATAATATTGTCTTCAAATCAGCTATATAGAGTTGTTAATTTTTTTTTTTTTTTTACTTTTTAGATCAAGAATTGTTTTCTAATGAATCCCTATTTTTGCACAAAATTTTTAAAATCATTAAAAAAATTTATCTCATTTATTAACAGCAGGATGGCTAGATTTGAAGAAAAATCAAAATTACCAAATTGGAGAGAAAATGGAGGCTTATTTTAATATTTTTTTAACTCTTCCGTGCAAAAAGCTGGTTGGCTCACTATTACTTTGATTTGAAGTAACTTTTTCTACTTAAAATATTTAAAATTATTTAAATTACTTAAATATTTATTTATTATTCAAATTACTTAAATATTTATTTCATAAATAAGTAATTATATATTTGAGTAAAATAATTAATATAAAATAATAATTAATAAATATTTAAAATATTGATAAGTTATTTTTAAAAAAAAAGATAAAAAGGTTGAAAAAAAAGTTTACTAATTCTCACTTATTAAAATATACTTATTTGTTACTTATTGTTTTACTAATTACTTAAATGGCAATGTGTTGTTTTATGTAATAAATATTTAAATTACTATGTTAGTAGGCTTTCAAAGTTTTTTAAATCAAGTGTGTTATGATCTAAAATTTGAAGGATTAAAACAAAATTGGGATGAAATTAAGAAATCCAAAAGGCAAAAAATGACAAAAATATTTTGACATTTCCTAAATATGATTACTTTATTCTATACTTTTAACTGTAACAATTTTGTTATATTTTTGATGATTTTAGTTTCCACACAAGCACACAAAAAAATTAGAAAATATATATGATATAGAAAAATATGTTACTTGGAGTGATTAAACGCACAGCACTTGATAGATTGAGAACGGTCCTCAAAAATAAATAAGTCAAAATCATAGATAAAGGAAAGAAACAAAATTTCACCACAACGTTCAGGGAGGAGAACTCCCAAATACCAAGCTTAATGTCATAAATTATTAAATGATTCTCTTATATCTAATCTTAAACCTAATATTTCATTTATACTAGGATAATATCAATAATGAATTTAAATCCTAATTTAATATCTAACTTTAATCCTAATTTCTCGTTTCACAAACCTCTCTAGCAGTAGTAATGTTAATTTTTTTTTTTTTAAGAAAATGGAAAAAAAGCTTTACTTGTCAATTCTTAAATGAAAATATCAAATTAAACAACCAAAAAATAAGCATGAATTCCCAATCTTCTTTTTGTTCTTCGTGCCTCCGCTCATAAGTTCCTAATCGGCTAAAATTGCTACCTCACTCAATTTTCTTCTTGTAAAATAGAACCAATTAATTCTACGTCGAATCAAGGAAAGTCCAAAATGGACCAAGCACTGTACGTTTACCCACTGCCGGTTGCCGGTCACCGACGGGGTTCACGATTCTATTCGTCTTATTGTGCTCTCCATCTTCTTTGACATCCGCCCCTATGGGGGGACAAGTACCTGCGACTGTCAGTGCTCGTGTTCCCACGATGCGGTAGAGAATTTTTTTTTTTTTTTTTTTTTTTGCATTAATCAGTAATTTTCAAAAGGTTTTCTGACTTTATTGCTACATCATCACCTCAACTAAACAACCTGTGTTCTATATTATATATTATTTTTTATTTAACAAGCCTTGTCATCCAACATATGTCTCGTGTTGTTAAAAATGGACTGCGATAATTAAAAAAATATATATCTATCAAAACTGAAAGTGTTTAAATAAATTTTTTTAATTAAAGTATAATATAAATTCGTAACATCCATGAAATATTAAAAATATTCCTGCTATCCTCGAAACCAAAAACTACTTGCGCGTTATAGATATTTATATTAAAAGTAGGGCTATCAATGGTCAACTTGAATTAAATTCTGTCTTTGTATAATAAGATATTTATATTAAAAGTAGAGCTATCAATACTCAACTTGAATTAAATAAATTGAATTCAAATTTAAAATTAATTAATTTATTTATATAATTATATTTGATTCGAGATCTTATAAAATTTATGTTTAATAATTTATATTTGAGTCTATTAGATAATCTAAAATATAAAAAAAAAATTTGATCTAATAAAATAATAATATTTTTTACATTTAAATCTCTTGATTCTATTCTATCATTCATATTAGTCTCTAAATTTTTAATATTTCAATCTAGTCCCTATAAATTTGAATTTATTAATATCATATTTATCTAAACTTATTTATCTAATAATAATATTATCAAAATTCAAACTTGGATCTTTAATAGATTATATTATTTAATTTCATATCTAATCTCTTATTTTAGAATTATAAATATTTATAATTAGATATAATTCATTACATTTTTTAATAGATTTGAATCCTAAAATTCACATCAAATTCAAATTGAATTCGGATTAAAATTGTCACACCCCACCTAGCACCTGACTGGCACTGAGGTTGACTCGTCAGCTTTAGTAAATCTCAGACCAAATTCATACAAATAAACCATTTGTTATTAGCAAAATCAGGCATAACAATCAAACATAAACCCCCTTGGAACAATAGCTAAGTCCATGTCTAAGTGATATCTTGAGCAGCTAGAGTACAAGAAAGTAAGATACACAAAATGCCCATGCCTCGCATGCAACACAACAAAACCGGTTCCCGCTCACTTGGAATGCACTAGTACCTAATTAGATCTATGATTTAAAAATTAGGGGAAAATGGGTGAGTATGAACCCAGTAAATGATAATGTTATTATATCATGCGGGGACATGTATAGTGACGTAGCAACCATGTCTTATGCCTCAAGATCGAAAACAAAGTTTTATTAAAACACAGGTCCAAAGATGAACCCATGTTGGAGTAACAGAATATATCACAGATCTCATCTCACGACAGCTGTAGTGTGTCGGAGGTACCAGAACAACACATCACATAGCACATAGGGATCACATATCAAAACTAAAATCAGAATCACAGAAAGCATATAGTGTTAGAACATCACCATGTTCATTAAAATCAGAACCCACTAAACTCTCAACATGTAACTTCAGAAAGCAGATGCACATGATAGAAAATAAAACCTACAGCTGTATATAACCCCTTTTCATGCTTTGTCGTGTATAATTTTGAAGGCCAATACATGCTCTAACTTCACTACCTTAGCTGTCTCCTATTGAGTGTAAAATATAAATGGAGTGAATAATCATGAGAGATGATTACATAAAAAAAAGGAGAGTCCCTTGATGCACACTTGACTGAAGCAAAGCTTCTACCTTGTTAAGTAAATTAAATAATTTGTTTTTATTTTTTAAAAATGGATAAGGCACTTTTATTCAATTAAGTTTCCCATCTTCCTATGTGTAAAAGTGTGATGACTTAATTAGCTCAAATAAGGAAGGAATATGGGTAAGAAGGTTGCTGGAAATTATAGCTATTATATTTATGCTTAAACAAGTGTTACATTTGGGGTTAAGGGGATTAAAGAATGTTTGGACTAAAAGTTGTTATATTAGTTTAAGACATTACATGTATAGTTAACTGTGGGTTTTTAACTTATGTAATTCTGATTTACATAGATTCTTTGAGATAATTGTCTCTTAGTATTAAAAATCATATGGCAATACAATATTTGATAACGTGTGCTCAGGTGTACTATGAATGACAACATGTATTTCTATAAGATTTTTATAAAGTTCTTTTGATTTTATGAAATGTTTACTATTTTATTCATTTTTAACTGTTTTATAAAATAATTAGTTTTGATGTTAATATGAATGTGAAATTTGATTTAAAACAAAAGATTTTGAAATTATAAGATTGAATTAAAAACCTGAGACAAGTATATTATATTCTTAACTTTTGTTAAATTTTGAATTTGAAATGTAAACTATGGTGGCGTATGGTACAATAAAATGATTTTTGATGGAATGGGAGTGAGAGTGGGAGTGAGAATAGAATGGAATGGAATTAGGATTTTTATGAGTATGTTTGGTACACACTGATGGAATGAAGATTCCTGTTCCATCATTATGTTTAGTATATAGGAATAGAGATAGGAAAGTAAACAAAAAAAAAAATGTTTAAGGATAAAAATACCCTTTGTTATAAGAATTTAAAAAATTTTAAAAATTAACTTTTAATATATTCTGAACATATTTAAAAATTTTAAAAATTAATTTTTTTTACTCTAAGATTAAAATATTAAATTCATATATATGTGTGTTTGTATGTATATATACAATAAGTTATATATCTATATTATATGAATATAATAAATTACATAATATATATAATATAATATATCATATTATACAATTTATTATATTATACTAGGTATAGAAAATATATAATTATATTGCATAATTTATTATATTGTAATAGATATATATATAACATATAATATATTAATATATAATATTATAAATACTTATATTTTTTTATATTTATAAAATATTTTTGTCATTTATTGTCACGCCCCATCCCGGGCACGTGA